ACTTGGTTAATGACTGCCGGCTTCTCCGTTTCTTTGCTCCCTTCCAACTCAGGACCCACCTGAGAAAGTTCTAAACCAACCATATATTATAACAAGCTGCTTTTCTAGATAGCCTGCCTCCAGCTTCCCCATGCCAACAGGCTCCAGTCAGAGTATACCTAAAGCCTTTCTCTTTTCGCTATTGTCAAAGAAACATTCCATGGGACAGAGGTAAACAAGCAGGGAGCCTATTCCAGACTATTGCATTAGGGGAGAGAGACTGAACTCAACTCCTCTGAAACAAGAGGTGGGAGAGTTTTAAGTACTGGGGCGAACTAGAGGCAAAGTACTGGGGGATGTTAAGGGGGACATGTTGGTTGATGTGATTGTGCCATCTATTTTGCTAATTGACACTTAGAGAAGATGGGCTCCTGCCTTCCCAAAGACTGGGATTTAGGGGACCTGTCCTTCTAGAAGATTACATTTCAAAAGGATGGCTTCCAGGTCCTGAAAACAAGACATTCCTACCTGGTAAGACAGCAAGTGGCTGGGGAAAGATTTACAGCTCAAAGGGGCAGAGAAAGAATTTACAATTGCAAATTTTCCAAAGTAAATGCTCTCAGAAAAGGGAGGTCAGGGACCTACAGTCAGGAAGAAGCCTATCTAAACTTTAGTCAAGCTGGAGAATGTTAAGATCATCTTGGTCACTGTAAAGATTTCCCACTGCCCTGCCTATCTCCACTCCCCTGCCAAGCACAAGTGATGTTGGCTGACTCCCTTACTATACCACGCTCTTAACACACAGCCTCTGTTCCATTTCTATGAAGACGGCAGTCTCTTCAATGTACCCTTATTCTGTTTTAAGCATAGAAATCTGAGTTTGACCTCAGTTAATTCCTTACTCTTAAGATAACTGTGTTTTAACCTTTTGTTGGTGACTACTGGCTGCACAGTGCCTAAGAACTAATCATGACCCCTTACTCTCTCCAAAGTAATCTGAACTCTCTTATCTTCATCCAGAGAAGTAAATTCATAAGTATTTGCCCTCCCTAATTAAAGAGCAAAGTACTGACTGCAACTACAGAGAGGTCAGGGTGTTCAAGAGTCACAGCCTTTTGCTTTCTTATCTGAATCAGTTCATTCAGATTCTGGCCTCACCTTTTCCCCACCCCCTCACAACTCATCACAGGTGGCTAACAAGTCTTGACTCAGCTGGCAGAGGTTTGCCCTTGTGCAATGTATTAATGACTTCCTGCTTATTCTCCCTTATGGGTGTTTTCTGAGAATGTGTTATTTTACATTCTTAGATAATGAAATAACCACATTTCTGAAATAGTTTGAAATACAATAATGAATCAATGGTTCATTAGAAAAAACTTTAAAATAATAAGGCTTTTAAAAAAGACCTTACAAAACTTCTTAGAGATGTCTTTGCCAATTTACAAAACCATATATACTACATCTCACCCTCCTGAAATCTCTAAATGTTTTCATAATTCTACAAATTATCATCTTCATAGCATTGTTTACAATTAATGGGGAATACAAAAAAAATAAAAACCTTTTAGTTTTAGTAAGTGATAAAGTAAGATAAAGAACTAAATACAGGGGTATGTGTCGATGTTTACCAAACTTTAATTTGAATTACCCAGGGATATTGTGAAAATGCAAATTCTGAGTCAGTAGATCTGGGGTAGGGCCTGAGATTCTCATTTATAAAAACTTTCTTGAAGATACCCATACTGAGCACAGGTTAGTTAATATAAAGACAACACTAAGAAAATATACAGAGGTTACACTAAGACTATTTAATATAGTTTATGATTAGAAAAGTATATGTATATATTTTTATATAGAGACACAAAAATAGAATAAAATAAAACCAGACTTGAAACATAACCAAACATTAAAAGAGATTTGGGGTAGTGGGTAAGTTTTTGTTTCTTTTATTTTACTTTTCTTTTCCTCACAAAAACCCCAAATTTTTCTGTAGTGAGTATAACTTATCCTTTTAACAAAAGTTTTTTCTTCTTCTTCTTTTTTTTTTTAAAGCAAAGAGCCACATCAAGTTTTATCACCAAGTGCTGATAATGTCCAAGAAGAATAGAAGCAGCAAGTCAAATGTAATGAATCTCAAAGGTGGTTATGGTTGTGGACAAAGGGTTTTAAGAGAGGGGAGACATCTGCCTGATCCATGGAGGTCATGTAATGTTGACATTTGTCTTATGGTCACTTGGTCACCTGAGTGGCCAGATAGCTTCTGGAAGTCTTTGATGTGATCCATTCACCTAACACAATTTTAAATGATCATATTTTTTCAGTGAGGTGGAGGTAAGATCGAAGAGCTAAGACCCAGCCAGTCTCAGAGATTTGCAGAGTTTCACTTTGGATGTACTCCCAAGACACTTGTGAATGAGAAAAGATTCCTCAGGCTCCTCATAGGACAGGGTTCTGCTTGGTTCAGGAAAACCTGTGAAGCAAATTCAACAGTACTTCAACACACTAGTTTTTGTTTCCAGTGAGAAGGAAATCTATAAACATGGTGTAGGCAGTTAACAGTGTAGGCAGTTTACACAGAGATTGAAAAAGCACTTTAAAAATAAATGTTCTGCCCTGACAGGGATATTACTTAAAAAAAAATAATAACATAAATTTTCACTTCAAGGGGATAAAATTAAACATATTTGGATTAAGGTAAGCTAACTTGAATAAATACATTTTTTTGGCAGAAAAGAGATCAAATGAATACTAATTGTGCCTATTTTGCTTTTCTAGCTGATAGGGCAGCAGATATAAAATCCCAGAGGGAAAACAAACTAACCAGACAGGTCCTAAAGAAATTATTCAAAGCGCCCATCTGCCAAGAACTAGGCAGTCTGTGAACTCCTTTTAAAGACTCTGTCAAGCATAGCACACCTTAGTCCTAGTATGAGTCTTTATACAAGATGGGGAGGTCATTTCTAAGGAATTTAAAGAATGTACTTATTGATCCATCGAACAGTGGGAAAAGGTAGAAATAAGTCCTTTCTTTTAGGAGTACAGAAGAGAGTCTTAGTAAAACCACTTATTTGGCTTTCACTAGATTTCTTACGTTATATACTTTTTGCTCTCTGTTACTAAATAAAAGACTAAAGCCTGGTTAGGATAAAAAGTGAACTAAACAATAACAACTACGCTAATAATGACAGCTAACTTTGAGCATTTACTGTATATCAAGGCAGTATTCTATGTGTTTTCATTTAACTTAATGGTAAAAAATTATTCTGTGAAGTTGATATAATTTATTATCCCCACTTAACAAATCAAAACACAGAGGCACGTAGAGATTAGGCACTTTGCCCAAGGTCACACAGTTAGTAAGAGGGGGAGCTAGTTCTAAACTCAAGCAGTTGAACTGAGAGCTTGTCTCCATAGAGAAGGCCACTGACTGAGGCTACCATTTTTGGTAATTGTAAAAGAGGGTTTTTTTTGTTGCTTACAGATAATGATTAATCACAGAGAGCCTCTGCCAACTAAATGAATAAGCTCAGGTCTGAAATTCATCTGCCAAAAAGGTCAATTTCACATTAGAAACAGGCAGGGTTGTTAGTGGAAAAGAGAATTTATTCTTAGGGGTCAAATATAACTTTTTTTTATCTATCAAGCAGTTTTGAACACAGATGAGCTCAGGTGCTGAATTTCTCTCTCAACTGAGGGTTTCACAGGCGTGAGAACTGGTGGTGGTCATTCTCCAGCCAACAGGCCTTGTAGGGTTAGGGACGTCAAGGTGATTTTAGTACTTCTCATAAACATGAGTTAGAAAACCCAGGACATCCTTAGTCATCTTGTGACCCCTCAGAAATAAATTCCTCTAAAGGCCATCGCCAAACCTTGGGGAGGCAGATGATCACATTCTTTGTTCACTTAGTAAGCATATGCAACTACTAGCTGTGTGACTTCCACAAGCTACATGACCTCCAGGCCTCAGTTGGCTCATCTGTAAAACAAGGACATATCTTACCTATCTGGCCTGCCAGGAGGTGGATCAGACAATCTTTTGAGGACATTTCAAGCTCTAAAATAAAAATATGGGCAAAGGGGAAGGACAAGGATAAGATGCACTCTTCAACCCTTTACTCATCAAAAGCCAGAGTCCCACTTGTTTTGTTAATTCTTGCAGGAACCAAATACTCCTTCAGTAGCGGTAAGGTCAAGAAGTTCACCTCTGGAGGGCTGCATTGCTTCTCAGAGAGCTCCAACTAGGCCAGCTACTAAAGAGTTGATACAGATTGTGTTTAATAGAAAAAAATGAATAAATAAAATAAGAAAAATAAGTTGTTTCAATAGCACCAGGAGAGATTTGTTTTTAACAGCACCAGAAGAGAGGTATTATTAATCCATTGTTGACTACAAATCTCATTAATAAAGATCTATGGACAAGAATAAGACATGCAGTCATTTTACCGCAAACTACACATTTCTATCTACTTCTACATCAGAAGATTTATATGCAGTATTTTTAACATTAAAATTAAAAGTTCCACATTAAAGGCATTTTTACTGGACTAAATTGGATATTCTTTGAGGTAAAGTCCTTTTAAATGGAATTTCACCTTCAAATCTGTCTTCTGTCCTCCACTCCTTCTTTCCGTTAGCTCCTCTCTTCTTCCTAACACTGAAATGTGGGGAGAAAACTGAAAACTGTGCACATCAAAAGAGTGACAAAAATTTTGGAGATAGGCGGCGGGGGGGGGGGGAGGAGAAAGTTATTGGAAAATGCCAATTAACAACACGTTTTCTCATTTCAAAACTCCCACATTCTGCCCATTTGAAAATATCCTTTCTCCCCCTCTTCCGAATGGCTTAGGTCCCCAGACCGTCAGGGTATTTAAGTCACAAAGGAGGTATTATACTGCTTACAGTTCTTCAAGCTGTCCTGGGTGTCATCTGCCTCCCTGAAGCGCTGCGCCAGCGTCTTAAAAGGTTCCTTCTGTCGGCTAATTGCAGGTTGGGGTTCCCGTAACAGCATTTTCTTTCAAGGATTATCGCTCATCCACTAGACCTGAACATTCCTCGGGCTCCTCTCTCGAGTTTAAGCTCCTTCGGGCATCATGTCTCTGGACAGTGAAACTCCTCTTGGGGGCGCGGACGCGGGGCGCCCCTCTCCGCGCCTGGAGAGCCCGGGGTCCAGCAGGGGTCCGGTGCCACACAGGCTGTCTCACTCTCTGCCGGTGCGAAAAGTGACCGCGGTCATGGAATGTTCCTCGGTCCTCCTGGTCATGCGACCCTTCGTCCACGCGGTCTGCAGCACTTCTTGCGTCACCTGATAATCCACGACCCGCACGAGCACTGATTTAGCGGGAGCCGCGGGGTCGCGCGGCGGGGCTCGGGAGGGAGCGGCTGCTCGCCCGCCAGAAATTCGCCCTTCTGGTTGAAAAGCAGGAGAAGGGCAGTTGGGTTCCCGGTCGTGGTGGTTTCCGCTCGCCTGAGGAAGGTCCTCCCCACCGGCCACCTCTTCCCGTGCAGGGTCCCCTTGAGTCCCTAACCACCTCTCTGGGTGCAGAAGAAACAGCACTTTCTCTCTGACCCAGGAGTCACGGTCCAAATTCTCTCTGGCTCGAGGTCCGAGGGTCCGACCTGCCGCCCGGTCCTCGCGGCCGCCGCCCTGGCTTCCGCTCGCCCCCGCCGTCGCGGCGCTCGGGCCGCCCTGAGCCGGCGGAGCCCCGCGCCCCACTTCGCGCGGAAAGGACCCGGTGCGCCCCAGGCTGCGGGGGCAGTGGGTGGGATTCGCAGCTCCCTGGGGCCCAGGAGTCCCCATCCTGGCCGAAGGGTCACTCATTCGTTCGTTCTTGGACGGGTTCAAGCAAGCGAGTTCCTGCTGAGCGCTGGAAAGCGCGGGCTGGCGGGCCCTGGGTGTGGCCTCCGCGGCCGGCAGGGGACTCCCCGCCCCCGAGAGCAGGAGACGGGATCAGCCCCAGGCTCCTCGGTGCTCTCGCTCGCCTCGTCTCCCTCCACTCCTCTCCGCCTTGTCCGCCCCGAGGTTTTCTATCTTTCAAAGACAGAATGCCTGACAGAAGCGCCAGTCGCTCCTCTTCTCCTTCCTGCCCTGTCCTAGCCCTGTTCCCTTTGTCGTTCGTCTGGTTACTTCTCGGCTCTATCCTAGTTTCCCAGCCGCCCTTCGCAAAAGACACCTTCGCACTGCGCCCCTCGAAATGCCCCAAAGTATTATCTTTCCCCGGAAGCTCCTTGACGTGAAGGAAGGAGGAAGCTTGATTGTTTTTTTTTAATCATATGATCTAATCAAATTCTTCTGAAAAGGAGTTTGGGTCCACTCCGAATCCACCCCCGCCGTGCGGGCCAAGATTGTGGAATGCAGATCAGAGAGTCAAATTGGAGAAGTTGAGGCCTTGGAGAAAATAGATTTTGGTTTGTCAGTCCTTCTTCCTTTGGAATGCCAGGGTCTGTAGGACAGTGGTCACACCTCTTTTCACTCTGGTTATAATCAATGCTTATCTCAGGAAGGAGTTGAATGGCCTTTGGTTTAAAACAAGCTATAAAGCAGAAGCAAAACAAACTGCTAAATGAACTTGGTCAGGATTTAAAACTTCCTGTGTGTCTTTTTTTTTTTTTTTTTTAATCCCCTCTCCACCCACCCCTTCTCTTTAACCCCAGAGGTTAAAACAAATCTGTATCTCTAGCTAGGCTTTCAGAATCTACCTGTCTCCACCAGGCCCTCTCACTCACTGGTCTTGACCTAAGGTTCATGGGAAAGGCTAGGTAATGGAAAAAGAGGAGCATAGTTTGTGATTTGTACTTCACCTTTGTTTACAGGTGTTTGTTTTATAATATGCCCAATGTTTTCCTGTCTGATTGACAAAACTGACTGAAATGGTAGAAATTTCTGCCCATATATGAAGGACCAAGTAGTACGGTGAAAGAGGTATTTTGGAAAGGGAGGACCTTCTGATGTTTGCCAAATCATATAAAGAAGAAAGTGTTGTAGGAGGTGTGAGAAAATCTGGGTTGGATCTTGCTGATTAGATGCTGACCTTGTACTGGTTACTGCTAGATCACAGCTAAAGTTTTTAAGTATTTTAGACAAGAATTGGTCTAAGCACTTTATATATTTAAGCTAATTTATTCTTCATAACAAAAGGAAGTAGTGCTATTTCTTTGGTTTCCTTGAGGGCTTTGAAGCACAGAGAGGTTAAGTATGTGCCCAAGGTCAAACACCGAAAAACAGTGGAACCAAGATTTTAACCTGTTTAGTTTTCCTACAAAATGACCCCTAAATAACCTTTGTATCTTAAGCCTATGACTTTATATTCTTTTCTGTTCATTTACTTAACCAGTAATTACCAAGTACATACTAAATGTCAGCCACTTTTCTAGGTGATGGGGACATCTGGAGGAACAAGTCGAATTGCTTACCCTCTTAAAGTTTTTATTTTTGTATATATACAGTGACATTCATCAATCCTCTGTTCAGATGTAGGAGATAAAAAAATTAACTTTAATGCACATGAATACCCCAGCAGATCGAAACCCTACCCTACTCTCAAAGATTCTGTTCTTACAGGTTTGGGGTAGGGTTTAGATGACTACAGAATTCTATCAAGGCCCCCAGTAATTCTGATGCTAGTGGTCCACAGACATTATGATCATCAGTTCAAGTTCAAAGTCTGTATAGATAAACCCTAGTGCATTTTTGCTGCTTTAAAGTGGTAATGAGAACATTACAGTTTCCTTCCTTGAAGGAATATTGGAAGAATTCCAGTGAAGGTGTGTGTATTAAGGGAAGCATAATGTAAGCCACATGATTTATTGCTTTCAAATAGTTTTCTTGCCATTGGGGATTGTATGAGGAATTAAAGTGGAGGATGGGTAAAGGGGAAAATCTATTTGCTGAAGAATGAGGCAGACTCATTCATCATGTAGCACCTGCATTTCTAGATGTCAAGAAGTTGTGTATTAATGCATAAAAGAACATTAAAGGGACATGCTACATAAATCAATCTACAAAAATCTAAAAAGAATATAAACCAGAAAAACAGGTAATTTGTCTCTAAGATATTGGTGTCTGCTATGCTTTAATATCTCAAATACCTAAAAGACTGAAAAAGGGTGCTAAATTGAACCATTTGTTTCTTCTCTGAATTGCCCATAATAGCTGCAAATATGCAGTCCAGTGAGGAATAATAAAGCAATTTATATTCCTGGGGTCTAATAAGTGATGAGGATTGCCAGTCCACACTATGTCCTGGTAGAGGTCAAAAGAAGCTTGCCCTTGATAACCTCTCTTGCAGGGGCTAGGCCCACTTGTTTTGTGTATTAGAACCAGAAGTTATTTTAAATTCTTGTGAAATTATTTTAGATACTCAGTTATTTTAGTACCTCTGCCTTTAGAAGTTTTACCCTCCACTTGCAGGGCTCTGGCTTTAATTTATACCTGTAGTAATCTTTCATAGCTTTCTTTTATCATGTCTAACATTCTTGAGTTGAAAAACTGGTCTAGTAAAAATTTTTAACTTATGAGAATGTAAAAAGCAGGCCTTCAACCAGCCAGGCCTTGATGATCCCAGCTGAACATAATAGATGCCCACGGAACACAAACATTGTCCGTATAAAGCCACTCTGTGACCATGTTTGGAACAAGACAGACAGCCATTACAAAACCACAAAGAAAATTAAACATTTTCTCTTATATCTAACAGAAATGACTATTGCTCTTTTACCAATGATAGCTCTGGTCTACTTCTGCTTTAATCACCGCCCCCCCCCCCACCTGTCTCTCTCTCTCTCTCTCTCTCTCTCTCTTTTTTTTTTCTTAAAAAAGAGATAGTGTCTCATTCTGTAGTCCAGACTAGAGTACAGTGGTCTGATCGTAGCTCATTGTAACCTCAAATTTCTGGGCTCAAGTGATCTTCCAATCCTCCTGCCTCGGTCTCCTGAGTAGCTAGGACTACAGGTGCGTGCCACCACAACCAGCTAATTTTTAAATTTTTTGTAGATATGAGTGTCTCGCTTTATTGCCCAGGCTGGTCTCAAAATCCTGGGCTCAAGTGATCTCCTCACTTTGGCCCCCCAATGTGCTGGAATTACAGATGTTACAGGCCGTGAGCCTGGTACCCAGCCAATCTTCTCGTTTCCTGGATAAAAACTACTGAGGTGCCCTATCACTGAGTTTATCCCATTTCTTGACAACATCTAATGCAGCACTGGCTCCTGCTTCCTTAAACCCTCCTTAAGATCATCAGTTCAAGTGCAAATCTTACAAAAAGCCCCTCCCAACTCTTCCTTAATGAATTGTCCCGTAATTACTCAAGGGTGCATTCTTATGTGCTGAAGCAAGAAAAATAAACCTAACTTGTTTTTCTTTATTATAGTTGTGTTCCTGCTGGGTTTTGTTTACTAAGATTTAAACTTGTCAGTTTAGAAAGCATATAATATTGTACCCGTGAATGAAATAGGCATATACATTGGGAGTAGGGAGTGGAAGGTGAGGGAGATGAACTGGGACCAGAATGGATTTGTAGTTGTTTGGCTACAAACAGTTTGAGGTGGCTCTGGCATTAGGAAATGCAGCAATACATGAATTGAACCAATATATTAATCAAATGAGGCAATACATTAATCGGACTTCACTTTTAAAATTTAGGAAATGCAGAGGGTTGCGGAAAGTAGAGTGACAAAGAACTTTTCTATTTCGGCATATTGGCTATAATTTGTATTTCTGGATTTGGTTTTAGAGTTGATGTGACCCTCTATTCTATAGAGATCCTCAGTACACTGGCAGATTAGTTGCCTATTAGTGCGTTTGGGAACGAAATTCACAATTCAGACAATAGTTTTTCATGTAGCAAAGACTCTTAGACCTACTTATTTTTACTGGGTCAGCTGGTAAAGAAATTTGTTTAGATAATGTTTTTCATCTTTAGAGATAAATGAGCCTGACATGTTATAACAGGTTGTGCTCACTCACATATCAATTTCATCAGGAAATAGGTTAGTGGTGGTTCTCAACTATGGCTATACATAAAGTTCAGGCCTCACCTGATACTAATCAATCATACAAGGGGAGGAGGGAGGTGCAGGCAAAAGTTTTTTTTTTTTTTTTAAACCACAGTGTCTAAATTGTGTGACTAGGATTAAAGAACACTACATAAAGGATCTTATTATTTGGTTGTTAAATATACACCCACCCTATCTAACTATGTTACTCCTGCTAAGTAAATGCAAGAATTTCTATCACTAGCATTTACAATCAGGTTGGGATATAAATCTGACAGACACGAGACAGCCAAATTTTCCAATTTGTAAGTGAGATTTGAAAAATACCACAGTAGTTTTCAAAGTTGGCTGTATATTGGAATCACCTAGGGGAGTGTATAAAAAAAAATGTAATCTGGTACATCTGAGAGGTCTTGACTTAATTGGCCTGGAGTGAAGCTTGGGGCACTGTCATTTTTAAAAACTGTTCAGATTCTTTTTTGATGATGGTGTTTCTTTGTGACTGACACGGTATGCTCTTTTGGGTTTCCCCTCCACCCACCCCCAATGTTTTCAGATCCTTCACCTTTTTTAAATTATACTGTTTTAGGGGAAAGAAAAAACTGTTCAGATGGTTCTAACATGCCACCGAGTTTGAAACCCACAGAAATAGATTATCTTTAAGGCTCTGACACTAAATAAGGAAAAATGAAGAATAAAATGTATATTAGGGACCACAATTTAATAAAGGGAATTTAAAGTAAATAAATTTAGGCCAGGCATTCCTGTCATCGTAGCACTTGAAGAGGCCAAGGCAGGAGGATTGCCTCAGCCAAGAATTTGAGACTT